CTTTGTATAGTGGGGATTTTCCATCTGAAGGGATTCTTCCTGTGTCTTCACCAAAGCATGAGCTTAATGGAAATGCACAAAACACCAACTTCTCATCAAAATTGATGGTCATGGCCAGGCACCATGGTAATCCCAGCACTTTGGGAGGCAGAAGCAGGATGATCACTTGAGCTCAGGAGTTTGAGACCAGCCTGGGCAACATGGTGAGACTCCGTCTCTACAAAAAAATAGAAAAAAGAGCCAGGTGTGGTGGTGCACACCTGTAGTCCCAGCCACTTGGGAGGCTGAGGTGGGAGGATGGCCTGAACCCAGAAGTTCAAGGCTGCAGTGAGCTATGATCATGCCACTGCACTCCAGCCTGGGTGAGACAGAGCAAGACCCTGTCTTAAAAAAAAAAAAAAAAAAATTGATGTTCACTGTTGCATACAAATACTAAAGACATGACCAGCCCACGAGCGTCTTCAAGAGCCCATATTCTCCAGGCAAGAAAGCCAAGAACTAAGATAAGTAAGATATCAACATTGTGATCACTTCATAAAGTGAACCATGTTGCCAAGGCAAGAGAGATGTAAATGGTGCCTGCCATGCACGATTTGTGTGCTTTTCCAATAATGTTCTTTGAAAAGACCAGGTGAACATTGCCTAGGTCAAGATCATATTGGGTTCATTGGGGGCGGGGGGAGTTTATTCTCCTTTGGGTATGTCTGAACCCAAGCTAAGGGTCTCCCAGGGCCAACCACAAGCTCAGCCAGGAGGGTCGTTCTACCCCTAAGGGAATAAGTTAAACGCCTCTCTCCATTTAGGTGCCACCCAGAAAGTCCTTTGATTCGTGCTACCTACCACATTTGGAGTTACCTCAGCATCTCTGCTAAAGACTGTCTGCTTTCCTCTGAAAGTTATTTCCTCCTTATCTGACCTGGTTGGTGAACTTGACCCAGAATAAATGAGGTTCTCATTTCATTGTTCCGCTTCCCTTCTCCTCCCTGCACCTCCCCCATCCCCAGAAAGAAATAAACATTTGAGACAAAGCATTAGTGCTAACAGAGCCGAAGGGATTTGGAGCCAGAGGTGCTGAGTTAGGGTCCCATTGTAGCCACTTCTAGCTCTTTGACTCTAAGCTGGCTTTAACCTCAGAATTTTATTTATTTATTTTTACCTGTAAGATGGGAATAACTAACTATAAGAATGCCTACCTCAGGATATTGAGAGGCTCAAATAATATTTTTCAAAGTGCTGATGTTATTTTGGGTAGTGGTTTTAGCTTTGTCTATTTGGTTCTGTCTCACAAATGACCTCCCGGGATGTGTAGAAACTAGAAGCATCTGCACGTGCAGCTCCGCACCAGGGCTTCCGGCTGATGGGCCTGCGCAGAAAGCAGAGCTGGGCTTGGATATAATTTCCAAACAGTTCCTGGGCTTGAAAGTGCTGACAAGCCACGTGTGTACGTCATCAAACCCTGATCTTAATCTTTTCCTTCTTCCTTTGGTCACCTTGAGAAATCATGTCCTACCTACCATGTCCTGCTTGCTGGCAGGACGACTTTCCAGGCACAGCCTCAAGGTGGAACTTGCTCTTATTCTGAGACATTTAGCCTTCCCCGTTGGGCTCCTGCAGCCGTCTTCTCTGTCCTCTCTGCTAAACTGCAAAAGTTTACCTTTAAACTGACAGATCTTAACACTTGCCAGAGTGGGTTCCTCATCTTCCTCGTATGTCAACATGCAGGGCTTAAGCAGTACACATTTGAGCTACCTGGGCAGCTTGGAAAGATCTTGATGCCCAGGCAGTACCCCAGACCAAGTGCATCGGGAGATGCAGCCTGGACCTTAGTTTTAAAGCTCCCCAGGGAATTCCAGCCCGCAGGCTTTGATTGGCTCTTTAATGTGCAAGCCCCTTTCAGGGGCGGGGGTGTCTTGTTAAAAATGCAGATTCTGATTCAGCACTTCTGAGATGGGGCCTAGGCATGTGCATTGCTAGTAAGTTCCCAACTGGGGCAAATACTGTCCTCCTCGGACCTCCAGGGCATCCTGCAAGCTGCCAGACCCAACACTGAGCCGTGCACCCCCCACACAGAGAGGAGGATCAGTGACGGTCTACTTCATCCCTTAGTTGACTCTTCACCTCTTTTCCTGGCTTGAGTTAAGACAAAGGCACACCTCTTCCAGAAGCCTTTGCCAGGCCTCCAGACAGCATCAGCCTCTCCAGTTGCCCTTGGGTAAACTCGAGGCTCTGAGCAGTGGCCCGTCTCATTTAGAGGCTCTCTGAAGCCGGTGGCCCAATTGCATGCTGAGACCTCTGCCCACACCTTGATGAATTGCTTCCGGAGTCTGAAAGCCCACATCAGGATGGCAGAAATGCATCGCTGCACCCTTCCAACTCTCATTCTGCTCAAATTACTTTTATGTGGCAGAACCCCTGCCTCATCCCAGGGTCTCCAGAAAGGAAGCGGTCATAGGCATCAAATGGCTGTCATAAAATTCATGTTTTGTTCTCACCCTTCCCATAGCTGGTGGCTTTCAAAAGAGTATTTTATTGTCCCTCTACCTCTATCTCATTAATGTGGGGGTGGGGGGTGGCCACTTGTAAGGATCACACACATAGGCATCTGGGATTTTGTGAGGCTGAGCACATCGGATTTAATATTCCTGGTCTTAAGACACGTTCTGCCACAGGCGGAGCCACCTTCCGGGACACCACCCAGCCCACCCGGCGCTCCTTCCTGCCCAGCTTGTCCCCGGAGGGGCAGTGCCAGGGCAAGGCCGGCAGGGGGCGGTGCGAGCCCACAGTCAGAGCCGGCTCCCTGGGTCCCGGCCCTGTGGTTTCTTCCTCTGAAAGCCACTGCTGACTTTCGTGGGGACCCCAGCATCCCGGCATCTACCTGCAGTTCTCTCCACGTCCTGATCTCACTCATACACTTAGAGCTGCCACGAATCAGAGGGCGGGCCGGGGCCACGTCCAGGAGGGCACCTGACAGGGTGCTGGGGTAAGACGGGGTCAACCAGCAGGGGTCAGCCACTGTTTCCCTCACATTTGGGGCACAACTCTGGAAAAACACGTAGAAGTACATCTCGAAAACGTGGAAAGTACGAATTCCTTTGAATTCTTTCACTCAGCCTCATCCGCGTCCCCACTCCGCCACCTCCATTCAGGCCACCGGCGCCCTCGACGGGCAAACGCTGGTCTCCCTTCCTTCCTCACGCGCCCCGCCTTCCTGCCTGAAATACCGTCCCAGTTCCAGCTGTTCCCAGGAGATCCTCGGGGCGAGGCGCCTTCGACCACCGCAGCTCCACTCTTTTTAGGTTTAAATACCAAGGGTCCACGTGAGATTTGATTTGAAAAAAGGAAGCCTCAACTTGTGGGGGAAAATCCTCTCTGGTTAACCTCCCACCCTTCTGCCCACAATAATTTGCTACGATTCCTCCTCCAGCTCAGAAGTCCTGTGTAAATATCATATGTGACCATGGATGGTTGACTGTGAATGTTATAAAGAAAGAACTTACTTGGGTAATGAGCACACACTGCAAACCCTAGGAATGAAAGAAAGGATGTAAGAAATAAAGGCATATATGTACATTTACATGTGACATGTACATAGCCTCACTGGAAAACAAGAAAGAACTCCATGAAAACAATGGGATTGGGTAGAACTTGAAGTCCGGGGAATGGTTGTAAGGTCCTGCAAGAGGTGGGTATAGCATCAAGAGTACTTCGTACCTACAGCAGGGGAGTGATCCTACAGGCAAGAGAGACAAGTCTTGGTCTGATTCACTGAGATACCTAAGTGCGAGCCATTGGGAAGGTCGACCCTCACCTACCACCACTAGGTAGACAACAGGTGTCTGCTTCCGTGTGGACACGTTTAAGTGTCCAATCTTAGGAGAAATATCCGTCAATGTCTGGGAGCCCCATACCCAGAAGCAGCCAACACTTCTCCAAGAGGGAACAGCATGCTCAGCAAACAGAGGTTTCCAACAGGGGTTCTCACCTACAAAAATGAGCTCACACTCACCAAGCACTTGAAGAAAGCCAGCCCCATAGAAGGAAAGCATTTGTACTTGTCAAAATATGCAGTTGGAAAGTGGGAGTTCATCACTGTGAAGTGCCTGAGACTGAAGACAAAAAAGAGCTTTAACTGTAGAACATGAGTACTGAGAGTGCTCAGAGAAGATGTCACCTGTAAATCTAAGGAAAACCATCCATCCAGGCAAGGAGGAGAAAGGCTATGGTAGAAAGACACTTCCCCCAGACGGATGGAGGGGGACGTGACCTCCACCTTGGAAAGAGGCCCAAGCTCCTGACCGTCTCTACACACATCAGACTGGAGGTGACCGAAGGGAACAGGCCACCCCCAGATGAAGCTGCTTCACGGTTGCTTCCACCCTGGAATTCAGTGTGGAAAACCCCTCGCCTGCCTACAGGCCACCAAGATTACTATGTTTGCTGAGTCATTTGAACTTACATCCTCCCTCTTTTATCATCTATTTATTGTATTTGGGGGACAGCAGGGACTTTTAACCCAGGCTCCTTGCCTGTTTTCATAGACCCTAAGTAGCAAAACTCTGCTGCAAAGGAATTTTTTTTTTTTTTTGAGACAGTCTCACTCTGTCACCTGGGCTAGAGTGCCATGGCGTCAACCTAGCTCACAGCAACCTCAAACTCCTGGATTCAAGGGATCCTCCTGCCTCAGCCTCCCGAGTAGCTGGCATTACAGGCATGCACCACCAAGCCCAGCTAAATTTTTTTTCTATTTTTAGTAGAGACGGGGTCTCACTCAGTCTGGTCTGGAACTCCTAACCTCAAGCAATCCTCCTGCCTCGGCCTCCCAGAGTGCTAGGATTATAGGCTTGAGCCATTGTGCCCGGCCAGCAAAGGAAATTATTGGGAAGCCTAATTAGAGTCTTTAAAATTATTTCAATCTCACACAAAAGTCACATCTTAAAGTTTTAAGGGCAGGTGGGAATACATTAATAACTGCCCCCAACTCTTCTTGTTCAAGGGAATTTCCCATCCTTTATTGCACCTCCAACTTGGGAGAAGGGTGACACCTGGGCTCCCCGGAGCTTAGGGAGGTTCGGGGGAGCACAGTCACCAACCCGGCAGCCCCTTCCCAGCGTGGGTCCAGGGCAGCGGAGGAGAGGCCAGGGGTGCTAGCTACAGTTCAGGTGGCAGCAGATGTCCTCAGAAGGCTGTGTTCTCAGATTGGGCCTGGGGCCCAAAGAGCTGCTCAGCAACGACTTTGCCGTCATACTTGGGCAGGGTGCCCCCAAAGTCACAGGGCAGGATGTTCTCATCAATCTCCTGGAAGAAGTCAGAGAGGTCGTCCCCATGGACAAAGACCTGCAGGGGGCAAGGGAGACAGAGCTGAGCAGGAGATGCTCTAAGGACGAGGGATGAGGTAGACAGGACAGAGCCCCAGTGTGCCATCTTTACCTGGTGACATCCCTCTCCTTGGTCCCACATATTGTGCTGTCAGTGGGATCCACTCAGTTCAGGACCACAGTACAGTGTGAGGACGGCTCCGGGGAGGGCCCCACCCTCAGCCCTCTTGTCTCATGAGCTCCTTCCTGCTCCAGCCCCACGTTTGCTCCCTGACTCACTCCCGGAGCCACTTCCCCAGGCAGGCTGTGCACTCACCCTCTGGAGCAGCTTGCTCTTCAAGAAGGGCTTGACCACGTTATAGGTCGTGGTGAAGTACCACGGCTGGTAGATGAAGTGGATGGCTTTGAACCGGGCTGGGAAGGAATCCTGCAGTGACAGAGAGCGACCCCCACCCCATGGCCCCAGTGGCCTCAGAGGTTCCCACTCATTTCCCATGGCCTCTCCCCATGGCATAGGACACACCTGGCCAGCATCACACGTTTCCCCCAGAGAACCCACTAAAAGATGCAGCCCTGGGCCAGCAACTAGGGAGCCCAGGATTCACTGTGGCTCCAAACTGCAGGGAGGAAGCCCCAGAAGTCGTACAGCCCAACCCTCTCCTGCTGATGCAAAACACACTCGAATCAGGTAAAGTAAAGAAATGAAATGATAGCCTGGCTTGGTTTTTTGGTGACTGAGTTTTTTCAAACCCACTTACCTGCTGAGTGTACCTCAAACTCTTATAGACCTCAGAGACACTGTGATCAAGCCTCGTTGTCCTTCAGCCCCTCTTACGACCCCCACCACCCACCCCTCCTTTCCCAGATACACACAGAGCAGATCTAAGGTAGCTCTAAGAAGGGACTCCTGGCATGTCAGTATACATAGAAATGAGTTGTCAGGAGGGTTGGTGCTATCTCTTTCTCAGGGTAAATCCACATTCAAAGAGAGGCAGCATGATCTATGTGGACAGAGGGCGTGGGATTCCTGGTCAGGAGATGTACATTCAAGTTTGGTCTCTGCCAGTTTATTGCCGGGTGACCTTGAGAAATCATGTAAATCTCTGAGCCTCAGTTTGCGGGTTTGTAAAATGAAGCATGGAAGCAGGGAGAGAATGCTTCCGAGGAGTCAATGGAAAACATGAATGTGAACGCTTGGAAAAGTGTCGATCAGCACGCAAGCGTTTTTAGTTGGGACTGTGGTTTTTCACTGCCCTTTATGGCACTAGGTGGTTGACTTCTCAGGTCCCTGCCAGCACCATGAAACCAAAATCCCGACCAGCTGCTCGGCCTCCCGTATGTGAAGGGCTCTGTGGAACAGGGCTCCAAGGCCTCACCTGGAGCATGTCCACCATCTTCCTGAGGTCCGAGGGCCGGAGCGCGGCAGCCTGCTGCATGGTAAAGCCCTTGAAGTTCTCGATGATGCAGAAGCCGTTAATCTGTGTTTCCTCATTCTCCAGAAGCTTCTCCAGGATGAAGCAGTAGGCCTGCAAGATCTTGGGCACAGGAAACAGGCCGTAAAATCTAACCCACAAAGGTAATTACGGCTCAGGTCCCGAGGGGAGAGCTAATCGGTAAATTCTTTACTAGAGGTCATTTGCCACGGGATTTATCCATCCGGGCATTCTGCCTCTGTGAATGTACACCAAGAAAACAAGCTTGACTGTCACATCCATGGCTAGAAGCCAGGGTGTTAAGCCCAGTACTCTTATAAGAATAGAAGCATTGGAAACAATCTAAATATTCAACAATAAGGGACAGGTGAAATTATGCTGCACTTATGCTATGGAATACTCTGGAGCAGTTAAAATGATACAGAGGCCAGGTGCGGTGGCTCACGCCTGTAATCCTAGCACTCTGGGAGGCCAAGGCGGGAGGATCGCTTGAGCTCAGAAGTTCGAGACCAGCCTGAGCAAGAGCGAGATCCTGTCTCTACTAAAAATAGAAAAATTAGCAAGGCGTTGTGGTGCTCGCCTGTAGTCCCAGCTACTCAGGAGTCTGAGGCAGGAGGAGCACTTGAGCCCAGGAGTCTGAGGCTGCAGTGAGCTATGATCAGGCACTCTAGCCTGGGTGACAGAGCAAGACCTTGTCTCAAAAAAAAAAAAAATTATACGGAAGACTAATGATCACCAGGCTGTGAGAGTGAAAAAAAAAAAAAAAAAGAAGACTAATGATATAGAAAAATGTTTGTGGTCTATGTTACTGTAGAGTGTGAGTATGATCCCATCTTTATAAGAAAAATGTGTGTATGTGTGTGTTTAGAAAAAGTAGATTGGGAGGATGTCAGTGGTAGAAATCTCTGGGTAGTTGAATTGTGTATAATTTTTAATTGGTGATTTTTTTGTATCTTCTAAAATGAGTAGCTATCACTTATGTAATAAGAAAAAAAGTGGAGCAGTAAGGACAGAAGTAGCCCTAATGGAATTCAAACGTGCCATAAAATCTCTATAATGAAAACAATGTGGCATTGGAGCATGAACAGACAAACGGACCAACGGAACGGGATAGAAAGTCCAGAAGTGGACCCAAGTGCATACGAAAATATAGACTATGATGAAGATGGCAGCTCAAGTCATTGAAAAAGATGGACTTTTTAATAAATGACATTGAGACAACTAGATAGCGTTTTGTAAAATAAGTTTGTACCTTTTTTTAAATTAAAAAAATAAACCTTTTTAAGGCTCAGTGGTGCCTGCCGAAGTTCTCCCAAGACAAACCCTGAATTCCCCACTTGGGGCAGCCCTCCTAAGGGCTCAGACAAGCAAAATCACACATGTACTAGCACAAAGAACTCAGGCTCCTAAATAGGTTGGAAGCTCTGTGCTTTCCGGAATCTATTCCAGCCCCCAATCCACCAATTCCTGTTCTCTCTGTTGCTCTCAGCTTTTAGCATTTGGCCAGGCTGCCCCCGGGGTAGCCCACAGCTGTTACCCCCACTTGGCACTTGGCGGCGACACCCTGGAATAGCCATGTACTATTTGGCCAGCAAGCCCCAACTGCAAAGCTGCGGAGATTTCCAGCTGTCCTGGACATCCTAGGAATATTCCCCCTGCCCAGGAAGGGCTTGGTGGCAGGTGGCTGCCCGCCTTTCCCCTTCCGCAGACCTCGCCTCCTGGGGAGCCAGGAATGAGGGCCCAACAGAGGCCAGGGTTGGGGGAGGGAACCTGCCTGTGGAGTGGGAGGGAGCCCAGTGAACCCCCACTGACCTCGTCGAAGGTGATTTCTTGACTTTGCCAGTTCTCGATGTTGAAGAGCATGACCACTCGGCCATACTTGTCCCGGGTGGAGAGGACACCAGGGTAGCCAGCCTCGATGGTGCAGCGGACAGCCTCCGGGGACAGGCTGTCGAAGAGCTCAGGGTACTGCAGCCGGAAGTTCACGTAGCCTGCAGGAGAGAGCACCATGAGGAACCCCTCAGGGAGCCATCCCATCCCATCCCCCTCCCACCTGGCAGGGATCAGAGACCTAGCCTCCTCCAGGCTCTTCCCCATGTCTTGTGTGTGATGGAGCCAGATACTCAACCCATCTGAGGCCCATGTTTCCTCTCCCAAAAAAATCACATAATAATATTGACCTATCTCAACAAATTATTGTGGCAATCAAACAGGATTCAAGGTGCGAACATTGCCGTATGCTGTGCAAACCTGAGGTATAGTCCTAAATATGAGGACAATTGTTATTTGTTATTTTCTTTCCCGTGGGAACGAGGCACAGGTTTTCCAGCTGGGCGCAGGCTTCACTGAGAGCAGGTGTGGGCAGCGCCAGGGAGGAGCCCCTGGGATAAAATCCCAACCCCAAGCGGGACAGAGGCCCTTCTTCCTGATTCCAGCAGCCCCTCTTCTGCCCTCCAACTCCCTCCTCACCCATCCTGAAAAGGTCCCTGCCTCCGGGGGGCCGCCTGCACCACCAAACTTGAGCCCCGGGAGGGGTTCTTCTTCAAAAGTTCACTTTGCAGAGGGTCTTCCTGGCTACTTTCCCTAAAACTTCAACCCCTTGAGCTTTTTGATCCCCCTCTCTTATTTTTCTCTCTATTCCTTATCACTATCTAACATTCTCCATATTTTTTATCTTATTTTTATCTTATATATCTGGCCTATTGTTTCCACCATTAGAATATAATGAGTTCCATGAGGGAAGGGGAGTCTTGTCTGTCTTGTTCTCTGCTGCATCCCTTGGCCTAAAACAGTGGTCAGCACAGCACGGCGCGGAATTGACATTCGGGGAAGAAGGAAGACAAAGAAAACCATTAGCCCGCAAAGGTAGCCTGCTCAGACAGCCTTTCTTTCCCCTGCACCAAAGACTTGATTTTCCTTTTTTGATTTTTTTTTTTAGGGAACTTGTCTCCACCCAGCCAGCAATGCCAAGGCGGTTCTGTCCCTGGGCTCATTCCCGGGGCTGGCACCGGCTTCAGCTCCCTGCACGTGAGGTTTAGGTGACTGCGGTGAGCAAGCCGTATCCCCCTCCCGGCAGCATTCCGGAGCCAAAGCCTGGGTTCTGACAGTGGGTGCTGAAGGGGAAACTCCTCCCCTCCTCTGCCAAATCGGGCACCCCAGTTCTGCTCATCCCAAGGCTGGGAGAGAAGAGAGAGGAGCCGGACCTCTAGGAATCAGGCCCTGACAGACTCCATTCCTTCATTCATTCATCGTCAGAGCTGAAAGGGAACTTGGAGGCTACTTAGTTCACGCACGGGCCCATTTTACAGGTAAGGATGTGGCGGCTCAGGGAAACTGACTTGCGCACAGCAGCCGTCCTCAGTGCCTGGGTGAGGGCGAACACCATCCTCCTGACCTGCTCCTGCCTTCCCAGGGCCGTCCCTCCGGCGGGGGCCTCACCTCTGAGCAGCTCATAGGCTCGGCCCACGTTGAATTTCCGGGAGCGGATGAAGCGCAGGAGGAAGGCACTGTCCTTGTCCCGCACCCTCTCAGCCACGGCCATGGCCAGCTCCTCCCCAGAGGCCGCCTGCTCCTGCACCAGCTCCTGCAGCTCTCGCACCGCCTGCTCGCGAGTCTCCTCCCTTTCGTTCAGCTCGTCCTTGGCCTGGAACAGGGGAGGGTGTGGGCACCAAGTGAGAGGCAGGGGCGGGTGCAGGGCCGTCACATATGTGATGAGCTGCCTACCAGAGCCAGACCGGCTGAGAGGGCCGAGGGGTCTGCACCTGGGACCCTCACCCTTCTGCCCACATAGGCAGCATCTGCGCCAGCAGCACCTCAGATTGTTGCATTTGGAGAAAATTAGGTCGAAGTGCTCATCCTGGGCTCCTTTGCAGGATATAGCCAAGGGTCTAAAATTTTCTAACAATAACTGCCTATACTTGCTGAGACCTTACTGGGCAACTGCTAAGTCCTTTGAATGCACTGGTTTTTAGTCTTTGCTGTAACCCGTTACGGCTGGCATTCTTATTCCCATCTCTCAGATGAGCACACTGAGGCTGATAAAGGTGAAGATATCCCTGCCCGAGGTTACCCAGAGAGGGGTGGCGCTGAAACTGCTACTCAGGCTCCGCTCCTAATCACTTCACTCTGCTGCTTCCCAGGCTCGATTCTGATCTTTGCAAAAACAAAGATCCCGGGCAGACGGCAGCCTGCCTCCTGCCCCAGAGACGCACATTCCTCCCCTTTGCTGGACCAGGAGAACTGTGTACCTCAGGCGGCTCTCTCCTTGGACAGACCACATGATGGGTGGCGGGAGGAGTGAAGTGCGCAGGAGCTAGGAGCACCTTTCCCTTGAGATGCCCAGGGAAGCAGAGACGGAAGCCAGGAGTCCCGGCTCAGCTCAGCAACTTCTCATCCTCCCCGGCAGCCCTAAGTCAGCTCTGCCAACCTCCAACGGAGCACAGTCTGACCATCTCTGAGCTAGTCCAACAAACATCTTTCACAGGTACAGAAGGCAAGACCCAGAGAAGGAAAGTAATTTGCTCGAGGTCACACAGCAAGCTCGAAGTAGGTCTGGTTCCCGCCTCTTGCCTATCCAGCAGGGGCAGCAGTTGGATCCCTGTTCCCCAGGGCCACTTCCAAACGAACACTCCTCAGATCTGAGTCTAGGATGAGCCCTAGTCCAGAGGCTCCAGGCTGTAGTCTTTGATTAGGCTGGCCTGGGTGTCTGGGCAGCTCAGTTGCTGCCATAGCCCTGACCTCCAGGATGGCCCCTAGAACAGGTCCAGGATGACCTGGGGAGCCAGATCTGGACCGTTTCTACAGGAGAGAGGATGCTGCCACATTCCCCTTGTTTCCTCCCTGGGCTGTTCCTCCCCATACCCCCAGCCACCTCACCTTCTGCAAGGTGTGGCGGGGCAGTTGGCTGCACCGGCCAAAGACAGGCCCGTGGTCCTTGGTTGTGAGTTGCTCCAGTTGGGCACGGAGCTCCTGTTCCTCTTCAGGGACCATGCGGTACGTACCCACCTGGGCAGAAAGGAGTTAGGAAGAAGCAGGAACAGCTCCCCTGTCAGCCTGAGCTGGCCAGACAAATGGGCCTGCTCAGACCCCAAACTAGTGCTTTTGCCCAAGGTCATGGCTGCAACTCCTCTTTTAGGGGGATCAGGGCCAACAGAGAGTTGTAGGGTGTGTGCCAATAATCCTGGGCAGAGGAGATGATAGGGAAGTGGGGAGGAGGGAGGGAGGGAAAGAGGAAAGGTGGGAGAAGGAGAGCCCTGGGGTACAGGGTACTCACCCCCTCTGACATACTGCCTCTGGAAGACACTGAGTCCTTGGGAAAAGAAGGGCCCTGCTTCCTCTGTCCTGGCCTCTCCGGTGGCCCCTTCCCTAGGAGAGGAAGTCAGGGCTGCAGTGATTAGAGAAACCGTTCTGTTGTTGTCTCAGAACTGTGGGTCTCAAACTTTCACTTGCATTGGAATCACTTGGGACATTTGTTAGGAATGAACGGGCCTGGGCCCCACCTGCATGATTCTGACTCTGGGGGTCTGGGCTGGGTCCCAGGAATCTGCAATTTAAAGCATCCCCAGGTGGCTCTGAAGGAGATGGTTCTTGGGCTACACTTGGGGAAACACGGCTTTGAGAAGGGCACCCACACAAGCACTTCAGTTCTCAGCTGCTGGGACAGTTGGCCCAGCCAGGACGAAACTAGAGTTGGGCTTCATTCTCAGTTAGTTCCACGATCACTGCAGGACAAAGAAATCCCTCCTGCCTTCTGTGGCCTTCCTGCCCCAGCCCAAAGGGCACCTCAGAACCTTCCCAGCCTGGTGGATGGCCCTTCCCCTGGGCATTCGCGCTCCGGAGGGGTGATGACCGGTTACATAATCACAGCACCGGGGGGTATGTTCTGTGCTTTGTGAGGCACTAATAGTTTCAGATCCATTATCTCAGAGCCAGGGCTGGCATCATTCCCATTTTACACAGGAGCAAACAGGGCCAGGAGAAGAGGGATCTGTCCAAGGTAACACAGCCCAGAATAGCCAGGGATCAGGACTCAAACCCAGGTTGTGACTTCCTGTCAGCACCCAGAGGCAGGCTGCTGCAGCTCAAAAGTCACACCTGGGTTCAAATTCTGTCTCCTCCACTTGTAGGCTGTGTGATTTAATGCAAGTCTTGGTTGTCTCCTGTAAAATGGGATGGAAGAGTTGTGAGACGTAATTAAATAACGTGCACATAAGCAGTGCGTGGCCCCCTGAACAAATCTCAGCCACGGCCCATGAGACAACCTGCTTCCCTACTGGGTGTTTTTGGAGACAGCTCTGTTTCCAGGTTTTCTCATCTCCCACCTAAATGCCCCTGTGCCTTCAAGGACTCTTCACCATCCTGCTGCTGCCTTTGACCAGGTTGTTTTGGTCAATTCGGTCACCTAGTCACAGTTGGTAAGTCGCAGAGCTGAGACGTAAACCTACGCCTACGTGACACCAAGTCTGTTTGACACCTAGAGCCAAGACATCTAGAGGCAAACTCCTTAGGAGAACCGGTGTTACAGAAACCTTGGAGGTCAGAGAGACCTGGGTTTGAATCAGGCTTTGTCATTTACCACCTGTGTGCCCCCAGCAAGGTATTTAACCTTTCTGGCCCTCCCCTGCAAATCGAAAATAATAACAGTACCTACCAAAAAGAATTGTCATGAAGACCACACAATTTGTGCAATGTGCCCAGCACAGTGTCTTGCTATAAAACATGGTTCCCCTTCCCTTTTTTATCATCAAACTTATCATTAGCCTAACTTGCACGAAGACACTTGGAGGATCCCACGGAATATCTGAGGGTGTCCCGTCTCTTCCCCTCCCACTCCACAGCCCCAGCAAGGACAGGGAAGTTCCAGGGACTGTAATCCACCCACAGGAAGCAAATCGAAGCCATCGTTCTGGCTGGTAGATGTCCAAATATGTGGGCACAGGGACAGACACGCTGAAATGCTGCTGTGCCGTCACTTGAGTTTTGTTGGAACAGGAACAGAGAGGGTGACAGAACTGCCCCTCGGAGCTCAGACAGGAGAGATGGTGGCTGGACACAGCCAGTTAAGCAGACCATCGGAACAGGCCTAGATCTTGAAAAGTCTAGGTTAAAGTCAGTGCAGCAACTCTTTTCTAAATATGCCTAAGCTGTTAACTTCGATTTTTTTTTAAATATGGATTTACAAGCTATATACAGTGAAAAACTGCCTAGCCCTCACTCCGAGTCCATGCTATTCCCTGCCATCTAGAGTTGCCAGTTAAAATGCAGAATGCCCAGTTACATGTGAATTTCAGATGAGTCACAAATACTTTTTTAGCATAAGGATGTCCCAAATATTGCATAGGACACATTTAACTGGGTGTCCTGCATTCTTATTTGCTAAATCTGCCATCAGATTGGCCTGGCTCAATCTGAAGAGTGGCCAGTGGTTTGTTTTACAGGCAGCCTGGGATGCGGTGTCCCCACCCAGACTCCTCACCCCAGTGCTGGGCTCCCTGGCCCAGGCAGGCCCCTGGTATCGACTTACCTACCAGGTCGGCAGCTCCTCCTTCCGGCCACCTGGTACCTGAATTGTCTTGGAGCTTTGAAGGTAGCCTGGGCTGGAGGCGTGGTCCGGTCAGCAGGTTGGGATTAATGTGTCACAAGGAACTTCTCACCGCCCAGTTTCCGTTAAATCGGGCTCACAGGAGGCCCAGAGCAAGGCAAGGGAAGAACTGTGGGGAGAGGAGAGAGGACTGGGCCTGGCTGGAGACGCATCAAAGCCCTCCTTTGTGTGCTCCTGCTCCGGAGTTCCTGCTCAGCCATGTGGAAGCCGGGCCATGGGGCTGGGATCTGGGCCAGCCCCGTTCCCTCTTCCCTGCCCTCTCTCCCCTCAGGATCCCGGGCAGGGGGTGAGAAAACACCCCCCAGGATGAGACGTGAAAAGAGGTGAAGGGAAATTATAAACGTGATTTCAGATGCAATGGCAGCTCTGGCGAACCCAGGCCTGTTGCCTACCCCAGCCAGCGGGGCCTGACGTGGTAGTTCTGGCCACCACAGCGAATGGGGCCAGGTGGGAAATGTAGCCAGTTAAGGCTGAGCAGGGAGAGGACAAGACAAGCAGACCTGCCATCTAGACAGTATGGTGCAGTGGGGTGGGGGCAGGGGTGCTCCAGGACCAGACTGCCCACTGTAAATCCTAGCTCCAGCACCTTCCAGCTGTGACCACTCAGTGACTCAGTTTCCTCTCTGAGTAGTGTGGATGACTAGAGGACCAGGCTCATGGCGTTAGTGAGGACGAAATGGCAGCAAAGTGCTTAGCTCAGGTGCTTAGCTGCCTGACACTTAGTGAGTGCTCTGTGAGTGTTGTCACTCCAAATACAGAATCAGTACACAACTAGCTGGAGAGAACTCAACCAACTCTCTCTACAGGAAGAAACCCCTCTGCAGTCCCTCAACAGGTGGCTTCCAGCTTCTGCTTTGGTATTCCACTGGGGTGGGGAGGAGGTGATTCCTTTAGAACATTCTCAGTCCAGCATTCCAAGGGCAGGAAGCTTCCCGCTTCCACTCCTGGTCAGTTCTCCTTGTTTAAAAGCTCATCCTTGTTCTGAGCTCCAAGCAGCTTCCTGTAATGCCCACTCCTGGTCCTGGCTTTGCCTCCCGGAGCTGCCCAGGACAGTGTCAAGCCCTCATACACAGGTCATTCTCCAGAATCTAGTCCCAGAAATGCTTTCCTCAGAGATAGTTCTTGCTTTTCCACCCATTCCTACTTCAGCAGGTTTGGGATCTCTTTACCCACCCTGACCTCCTCCCCGCCCCGTGCCCTCCCCAGATACCCTGGGGCTGTGAGAGTGTCCCTGAAGGACAGTGCCCTGGGGCCAACACCTGCCCCTCCCCTGCCTCTCCTGACTCCGTCCTCCAGCGCAGGCTGCGATGCCTGGCACTTAGATCTTGGGGTGCACCTGTGTCACCTTGAGCTCTTTGCTTCTCACAGCCCTTTCCCTGGGCTCCTGCCCGGGCTGCTTCTGTGTCTTGGGCTGTTTCTGTCCCAAGTCCTCTCTGAGCTGGGGAATCTCTCCTTTCTATCATTCTTCTCCCTGGTGGTCTAGTCCTGTGCTGTCCTATACAGTAGCCACTTAGCCGCGTGTAGCTTTTTAAATTTTTATTTAATTTTAATTAACTTAAATTTAAAAACTGACACTGAATTCCATTTCTGGTAAACTTTTAAATAAGTTTGGATCAACTTAGGTGTGTGATTCTATTTTTTTAACTGTAAATTGTGTGATGAAGTATTTCTTATAAGAATTTCAAGTTCAAAGTGAGATGTGCTATAAATGTAAAATACCTATTGGATTTTGAAGACAGTACAACAAAAAGAATGTAAATTATCTCACTAATGATTTTTATATGGGTTAATGTTCTGAAATGATCATGTTTGGGTTATATTGGGTTAAATATATTAGAGTTAATTTCACCTGTTTCTTTTTACTTTTTTTGATGTGGTATTAGAAAATTTACAAAGACATGTGTGCCTCACATTGTATTTCTAGTGGACAGTGCTGGTCTAAACCTTGCTGCTATTCACAATGTGGCCCATATACCTGCAGCACCAGCATCATCTGGAAGTTTGTTAGAAATGCAGGCTCGGCACAGTGGCTCATGCATGTAATCCTAGCACTTTGGGAAGCTGAGGCAGAAGGATTGCTTGAGGCCAGGAGTTCAAGACCAGTCTGAGCAACATAGCGAGACACCCCCCCACCCCTGTCTCTACAAAAATAAAAAAATTAGCTGGACATGGTGGTGTGCACCTGTAGTCCCAGCTACTCCAGAGGCTGAGGCAGGAGAATTGCTTGAGCCCAGGGTTTTGAGGTTGCGGTGAGTTATGATGACTCTACTGTACTCTAGCTTGAGCAACAGAGCAAGATCTTATCTCCAAAAAAATAAAAACGAAAGAAATACTGAGTCTTGGGCCCTTCCCCAGACAGGCCAAACCAGAATCTGGATTGGATTAGGGCCTATCCTAATGATCTCATTGTAATTTAATTACTTAGTTTTAGCCAGGAGCAGTATCTCACCTGTAGCCCCAGCTACTGGGGAGGCTGAGGCGGGAGGTTCTCTTGAGTCCAGCAGTCTGAGGCTACAGTGAACTATGGTCGCACCACTGCACCTCAGCCTGGGCAACAGAGCGAGACCCTGTCTCAAAAATAAAATACAAATAAATAAATAAATAAAATTACTTAATTTTAACAAGGTCCCCAAGTGATTCCTGTGCACACGAAAGTTTGAAAAACACTGCCCTAGAGAGTTTCTGACCCTCTTCCTTTCCTGGCTCTGCCCAGCACATGCCTTGCCTGACCTCTCGCTTCCCACCAGCTGGGAGGACTGGGGGGGAATCGGATTGAGGACTGTCTTTACCCATCAGCCTCTTCCTCTTTGGGGCAGGGCTGTGGTAGCCAGGTTGTGGGTGGAAGCAGAGAGGGAGGGTGTCCTGCCTGGTTCTAGACCTGGCCCTGCCTACTATTAACACAAGTCATTGACCCTCTTAGGCCTCAGTTTTTCCACCTGCAAGATGGTGCCATGGCTGAACTGTGTCTGTCCCCCGCTCACCCCCAATTCATCTGCGGAAGCCCTAACTCCTAGTGCTTCAGAATGTGACTATATTTGGAGATTGTGTCTTTAAAGAAGTGATTAAGTTGAAATGAGGTCATCAGGGTGGGCCCTAATCCAATATGGCTGATATCCTCATAAGAAGGGGAAGTTCGGACGCAGTTACAGAAGAAAGGCCGCGTGAAGACACAGGGAGCAGACGGCCACCTACAAGCCAAGAAGTGCCGTCTTAGAGGAAACCAACCCCGCCCACACCTCAATCTCGGACTTCCAGCTTCCAGAACTGTGAGAAAATGAATTTCTGTCATTTAAGCCACCCAGTCTGGGGTACTTTGTTATGGCAGCCCTAGCAAACTAGTCCAAACGGGATGATGGTTTTTTCCAGATGAAGGGAATGAGAGCCCAGGCTGCCCCATGGGAAGGAACCAGGGGAGCCGCGGAAGAGGCTCCGTCAATGCTGGGTGATGGATTTCACGAGGAACAACATTGCTGTGCACCAAGAACACTTCTGAGTTAAAGGCCCAGCCCTGGCAGGAGTGGGCTCACGGAGTTTTCGGGAAGCTAGCCGGCCACGGGGCCCTTCTCTGGGAGCAGGGCTTTCTGCGGCATTACCTTCCACTCGCAGCCCTTCTCCTGCCTCTAACCTTCCCTCCCCCATCCCAACAGTCACGTTCACACCCGGCTCCTCTGGCTGGAACAATAGTGCCACTGTGTGCAAGGAGACGCTGCCCTCATTGGCCCAGACACCTGTGCCGGCTATACTGGAGGCAATCCCGGGCCTCTCTGCCCAGCCGGAGGCAGGGAGGGACGGGACTCAATTTGCAGTGCCCGCATTCTGCACTGTGGCAGGTGCCCACCCAGCATCATCTATCCACTCCTTCCAGATGTCAGATAGGGAGCAGAATCCCCCTTTACACAGAATAAGGAGCTGGGAGTCAGAGAGGTGGGGGCCCTGCCCAAAGCCGCACAGCTGGTTAGGATTAGAGTCCAGCTCATTCTAAAGCCCTCTTATCATTCAACACATGAGACTGCCCTCCTCAAGAAGCGAGATTGACACAGGGGTGACTACCCAGGGACGTCACGCTTGACCCCTGGCTCCTGGGGAAGGTGACATCACTTCGTCCTCCCTGGGAGCAGTCCCAGGACGCAAGAGTCTGGTCACTGTAATCCCTTCTTTAGCCACTAATAATTCTTCTGGGCCAGGGAGGACCTTACAGAACCCCCAGGCCTCAAACCGCCCCCTTTGAGAAGTGGGAAAATGTAGGTCCAGGGACATTCTGCACTTTTCTTGAAGTCGCACAGTGGTGATGAGAGTGAACGAACCGCAAGCAGGTGTCCAGACTAGAACAGCGGGGTCTCTGACCCTGAGGGCCGCCATGCTCTAAAAAGCTCCAACCCCTCCGGAAGGCAGCTCACTCTGCAAGGAGCTGGAGTGGAGGAGTGGGAGGGCCGGGCAATGAAGCAAGGAGGAATCAAATGACGAAAATCCATCAGTCTGCTTGTTCGAAGAGGATTTTAGAATTAAGGTGGTTTCACAATTTGAGGAAAAGTGAGCTTGAAAACTTACGCAAGAAAAAGAAAGTGGAAATCAGACCAATATGTTGGAGCTATGGCTGGTTAGAGGGATAGCTAGACGGACAGACACGTGGCAAAGCCAGTGGAGTAAAATATAACAGAATCTATGTATTGGGTAGTTGGGGTGTTTAATGGAAAAATCCAGAAACCTCCTTTCTCTTATTTCACCATTCTTTCCCTCCCTCTCCTACCTTCCCCTTCCCCACATTCTTTCAACCAACATTTATTGAGTAGCTACTATGTGTTAGGCACAGGGGCACAGAGATGAATGAACACTGTCTCTGCTTCAGCCACTCACAATTTAGAAGGGGAGATACATACACAAAATAATTATAAAACAATAGAGCAAGTGATAGGACAAGACAGAGGTTCCAAAATGAGCTGTGTTGTAGTACCGAAAAATGGAGGAGT